GTGTATACAGTACTGCAGTAAATATTCTTTCACATTTATTTATTCACATTTATTTATATACACACACACACACACACACACACACACATACACATACATGGCTCTTATAAGGAAGTTACTAACTTTCAGAAATTGAGGTAGCAAGAACCAATTTGTTAAAGACAAAACCAAGGAATACTGCTCTCCATGACACAAAAGGACTCTCCCAACTTCTCTCTTCCTTCTTTCCTTTTTTTTAAACAACCTTAATGAAGCATATTTCATATATCATAAAATCTACCCTAATAGGGTGCAATTTATTGATTTTTAGTAACTTTACCAAGTGGTACGACCATCACCATAAATCAGTTTTAGAACATTTTCATTCTCCCAGTTAGACCCCTCATGCTCATATACAGTGAAATGCTCTTTTCCACCCTCAGCTCTAGACAGCTACTAATCCAATTTCTTACTCTATAGATTTTCCTATTCTGGACTTTTCATAGTCATACAATATGCTATCTCTTGTGTCTGGCGTCTTTCACTTAGTAAAATGTTTATGAGGTTCATAAAGCAGCATGTGTCAGTGTCTGTTCCTTTTTACAGCCAAATTGTATTTCATTTTATGGATATATCTCATTTTGTCCATCTATTTATCAGTTGATGGACATTTAGGTTGTTCCCAACATTAGGTTATTGTTGGCTATTATAAATAATTACATCTTGCTTTTTTCCCTCACTGACAGTATGTTTGGGCAGATTTTTAAAATTAATACTTAAAAACTTGCCATTTTTTCCTTAAAAGATTGTAGTCTTTTAAAAAACATTATATGTATTTTATTGTAGGATATACTGTCCTTTATTTAAGGTAATGTTAATGGATGTTTTGAATTGTTTGATTTTTTACTGTTATAACCAGTACTGCAGTAAATATTCTTTCACATTTATTTATTTATTTATTTATTTATTTATTTATTTATTTATTTTTAGCTGAGCCATCCTGCCACCTCTTGGCAGCTCAGCGGCTGCTCAGCTCAGGCCAGGACTCGAACCGCTGTTGCTCAGAGCTCAAACTCTTGAGTGAGCTCTTAACCAACTGAGCCACTAGGCCGGCCCTCTTCCACATTTATTTTTGTATGTGTGGTACTGTGATATAGATTTCTAAAAGTGGAATTTCTGGATCAAAGGTTATGCACATTTATAGTTTTAGTAAAATATTGAAAACCAGAGGATATCTTTAGTTGTAATTCTATTTGATGATAAAGGTCTATTGTCAAGTTATTTGTACATTCCTGTATTTTTAGCCAGGGAGAAGCAAGTTCTGCCTGCTTGAGTTAACAGGACATGTTAAGAAAAAAAATTTTGTGTTGAAAATAACAGGAACATATCTACTTCAAGGTCTATCGTGATAAAATGGATATGCAATTCAGAAATACTTGTTATTTTACTTTTCTTTAAATTAGAACCATCTGCTAAAAACATTGGAGGCTCCTATAAAAGTTATAGAACCTACATGGGAGTACCTTTAGTTAAAAAAATACTGAGTAGTCTCAAATAGTGTAGAATTATAATGAGTTATGATTGTCAGTTTCAAGAGTGTCTGTCTACCCATTTCCCCAGAATTTCCAATGTTTTGTGCAGGTGAAGACACCAAAGCCAAATAGATCTAGACCTGAATTCCAGTGCTGTGTCCTACTATATTTTTTCACATATATCTAAAATATGTGTATATTTAATATGTTGTCATCTTATCAAGGCCATAAAGTATTGACAAGGCAACAATAAAACCTGGGTTCTCTGTTAGACACCTTGACATTGAAGTTGTTGTTTTTAAAAGAGAGTCGTTTGAAATATTAATTTATTTTTATTTATTTTTTTTAAGATTTTTATTGGGGAATTGGAGGGATGGGAACAGCGCTGGGGAATTGGGGGAAGGGGAACAGACAAGTTGCTGTCTTTTTGTTCTTCAGTCTAGTTGTGGAGGACGTTGCTTCACTGGCCCAAGTTGGCACCATCATTGCGCTCTTCCCCAGGCGAGGCAGATCAGTCGCCGGCTTCTGGACGGCCACTCACTGCGGCTGCTGGCCGCTCACGCTGGCTGCTGGCTACATACGGTAGCCCATGGCAACCCACTGCCACAGGGGCTGCAGCCTACGACGTCGGCAACTCTCGGCAGCCCAGCTCCAGGTTGAGCTGTTGTTCAGCATCTTAGCTGCAGAGGGCAGTGTCACTGGCCCTCATATGTGGGATCCGAACCGGTGCCCTCTGGCATCCCAAGCCAGTTCTTAACCATTGCGCCACTTGGCCAGCCCTGAAATATTTTTTTTCTTTATTTGTGCCAAACAGAAACTTATCATCAGTAAATATTTGTGTTAATAGGTTTATGAAATTGTTAAAGAAAATCGTACCTAGAGTCAGACTTATGAAATATTTTTTTTGACTTCAGTAAATGAATGAATCCCCAAATAAGAAGAAATGATAAATGGATTTATAATCATGCAGGGTGTTTATGTTTAGTTGTTAATGCCTTTTGAGGTTGGCATTAACCTCAATAAGCATGACATCCTTATTAGGATGAGTTTTCTTTCCAAGTGAAGACCAGGTACTGTTTCCTAAGGTAATATAATATATTACTATTACTATATTAATGTTATATATATTGTATAATAAATGAATAAACCTCATTCACTCTATTGGGAATTTTAAGTATAATGTTGTTTGTATATCTGAATGTTATAAATAAAGAGCATACTCCTTCATGGACTTCTTAATAAGAACCCAGGTTCTGAATATAATTTAACCTTTTCTTTATTACTTAATGTTTATAGTACTGTAACAGTGAAACAAAATTCTCAGGGCCTTGTTACCTCAATTACAAGATGGTTTCCAAGTTCTTGTCTCCTTTAGAAAAAAAAGATTTAAAGAAGATTTTGTTGTTTCCCTTGTAAGCCTGATAAATATTATTTCTTCTAATAGTTTGCCACTCTGAATAGCCTGTCACCCCCAGCTCTTTTCCAATTTACCCTTTAAATGTACATAATACACATTGGGAACCCAGGTAACTTGACGTGTTAGCATTATGTTTAAATGAGAACTAGTAGGTGTCAGGTGAGAACTTTGGAGCATGAGAGATTCAGATTTTGGATTTTATGGTTTTAGATTTCAGGTTTGGTTTTTTCAGGGTTTGTGACTGTATTGTGGGAGTTGGTGGATCGTCTAATCATTTGTAGTTTCTGTATTATTTTTAAATAATGGAGTAAATCCCTTGGAGGATTCAGGCCCTTCATTATTTTGTCTGTAATTTTATTTACTAATCTGCATGATGATGTTTTTTTTGCTTGCTATAGACTAGTGATAATGGTTACTTCAAAGAATATTCTTATGGGCCGGCCGAGTGGCGCGATGGTTAAGAACTCGCTTGGGATGCCAGAGGGCCCAGGTTCGGATCCCACATATGAGGGCCAGTGACGCTGCCCTCTACAGCTAAGATGCTGAATGATGGCTCGACCTGGAGCTGGGCTGCCGGGAGTCGCCGTCGGCGTAGGCTGCAGCCCCTGTGGCAGTGG